CCAATAGTGTAAAAATTTCATCTAATTAAATTAGATGCCAGTCATGCTTGGGGCCCTGTGTGGGCGCCAGTAAAAGTCTGTCAAACAAATCGATAGGAATCCACCGTCAAACAGCTGACACAAAGCTTTAACAGAGCCTCTTTCTCTGTCCTCTTGGGGTTTTTTTTTATACACGTGAGCCTTTGGATCATCAGCAGTGACTCATCAGGTTCTTCTATGTAACCGGAATCCCGAGAATCCTTTGGTATTAGGACAGAAAAAGAAAAAAAAAATTGTAACCCCTGAGCTGTCATAAAGCACAGCATTAACAAGTGTTGGCAATAGCGTTGGGTTGGGTTTAACGAAATACAAAAAAGAAGGAAAAGACTTAGAAATGTTGTAATGTAATGCATAAAAATACAAATTTCTGGCCTTTTAAAAGTATATAATAGCTAATTAGCAAGTACTTATTACTTATTTTTTGTGCAAAATCGCTCCTATTTTGTTGACTGAAACACTTAATAACTGAATATGGACGAACCCAATAAAAGCCGCTATATAAATATGTGAATCCACAAATTTTACCCAATTATTCCAATTATTTAAAACCTGAATGTATTAATCACTTTCAAAGTTTAAAGGATTTATTGATTAAAAAGCTAAAAGGAAAAAATACATCAAAGAGTTGATAAACTGAATCAAGTCGAGCTTTAGTCGGACTTTATTTTAATGAATAATGGAACTCATCCAATTACAACACCGCAATCTCTTAGTCGGGGTTTTACATTACACTGAACTCAATATTGAAGTATTACTCATTCAAACAGCTGTGCTAGTAAACAAGAAAGGAAACCCCCACACATATATAATAAAACCACGGCCCATAAAAGATATCTGTTTAAGGTACCGATTTCAATGGAACAACAATAAGTATTATTTATTTCGTCTTGCAGCGATAACTGTTTCCAGTCAGCAATTAGACATCTTGACTGCGATAAACACGCCTACGATTTGATTAATAAATTTAATGATTTGTTTTGGCGAGCAATCAGAGTTTCGAAATCAGTTCTTGGCTGAACTTTTCTGTTTTTCTCACTTTTCAACACTCGAAATTTCAAGAGCAGCCAGCAGCGCCAAGCAAGAAAATGAAAAGGGACAAGTGCTGTTCAAGCAACTCAGTTGCCTGCCGGGCTCAAGTTCCCTTTTTTATTGCTCATCCCCTGGAGCCCGCTTTGCGTTAATTTCTCATCTCCGTCTGGGGTCGGGGTCTCGGAATTTCTCGAGTGGAGCGCACAGCGAACAAACAGATTAGAGGGGTCCTCCTAACAAGTTGCTCAGGTCAAGTCTGGTTTTCGTTTGAGTTCCCTTTGTTTCCACTGCGCGTTCCTCCTTTCTGCTATTTTTACCCCGTATTTGTTAATTTTCCGGGAGTATATCGCATCGTATCTTAAGTTCATGCCATTTTCAGATATCTAAAGGATTATTTTTTGGGCATGGAATTAATTGATGATATTTAATTAAAATTTGTTGTGTGTGTCATGGTTATCAAAATGAGTTCTTAGTTACTTACGCATCTACTTATCCTCATAATTAAAATGATATAATTATATTAGAATTTTTATTTTCGGATCGAATTTTCTCTTTTTTACCAACAACATCCCTGCTAAAATAAAAGGCGCTTCGATTTCCAGTCAATCTTTTTCGGTTTGACAAAATGACGCTGGCTTAATAATTCATTTAAAAGAAAGGGCATTTGGAGCTTAACAACACTTTGCAATGCTGGCCATGTTCCTGTCCTGACCAATTTCGCTAAAGATGAGGCGACAAAAAAAGATTTTAGTCATTTTAAATGAACAGAGTCTGCCTTGGAACTCTCTTTCTGTCTTTCTCCCTCTTCTTTTTTCTTTGCCTCCAAGATTGTATGTCTTGTATTTCTTCTTCTTTATGCTTCTCGCCTCTGCTGATAATGAAACAGCAACAGCAACTGGTTTTTTCCTGGTGCCATTGATTTGGTTCTTGCGCCCGGCTCGTTTGCTGCTTTTTTGTCTGTTTCACTCATAATTGTTTTTAATTTTCAAAAACAAATAAATGTCGCTGGAACGAAGCAAACATAAATTACATTTTAATTAATTAATTGCCATCGGCCACCAAAGCAAATAACAACAACACCAACGGCAACAGCAGACACAGCAACGGTAAAAGAACAACATTGGTTGGCCATCTCTGTCTCGCCTCTGTAATTGAGGTCAAATGCGCGTAGTATCAACTGCAGCAGCAGTAGCAGCAGCAACTGTGCGAGACGGTGCGATGGGGGCAAGTGCGAGGGCGAGAGAGAAAGCTCAATAACCCCAAACGCAAAGTTGTTGCTCGAGTTTTGTTTTTGCCGTTTCTTTATTTCGATGATTACAACACGCACATGTGTGTGTATTGATATGCAGTTTAAAAAAAAAGCATTCAATTGAAGGTTAAATCACGTGAGAGCCTTAACTAAATATTTAATCATTTAATTATGACCGGCGAGTATCGATACCTGAAACTCTGACAAAGCAAATGTTTGCGCAGTTGGTTCGGATGCGATTTAGTCGGTGTATCGTGACAGTGTAACCCCCCCCTCTGCCCAAAAGGGATTTTTTTTTACGTTGCTTGTGCATGAATTGGAATCGTTTTAACAATATAATTTATTAGTTTGACAATAACATTTATAACATTTACCAGTGCTATGTTAGGCATACAGCTGTCTCGCTTATCGCCGTTTATGTACAGTGGCTCACAGCTTATTTCGTGCAGAGGTAAACTTGAAATTCAAACTTGTATATCTGACATACTATAGGAGATATGAAAAAAATTTAATCGCAGTTATGTTAAGTAGGGCTTAAGCATTTATTTAAGCCCTTGGTTGTTTTTCAATTCCACTAGATAACGATAAAAACTTAAAAAAAACGAAAAATATTGGTTATTTTTATGTCACAGCTTATTTCGTGCAAGAAAGTTTATCTTAAATATTTCGGTTTTTCTTAAACTTACAAATTTTTTTTGTCTTAACTTTATTTGATGACATTCTCTAAAAGAGTTTTAATTGAAGAAATCAACTTTTCTGAGGACTCCTTTGGAATCTTGGACCATTCTTCCAAGGGGGCTGTTTTGAGACCATTTTTATAAGATATCGACCTCTTGCGGATGCCCAGATCCAGAATCGCACACAAAATCTTAAGGACGATATGGTCTGGTGACTGGGCAAGTGGATTCACCACATTAGGGCAGTTCCATATCAACCTGGTCTGCACAAGAGTCGATTTTTGCTTTGGGTCATTGTCATGGTAATGTCAGAAAATACCCTTTGGGCCCAATATATCGGCGATCTGGAGCAAGTTATCCTTCCAAAGTTGAGGGTACATATTCTAGCCATATTTCCCTTGATGAAAACCAGGTTTTCAACATCGGTTGCCGCCATACACGCCCAAACCATGCGAGTACCACTACCGTGCTTGGCTGTTGGGGATCGGTTCTTGTGGTGGAGCTCTGAAATTGATTGTTTTCAAACATATTGCTCTCGGTCCGACCTCATAAATATTGAATTTGGTCTCGTCTGTGAAAATGAATTCATTCCAGAACGAAATCGAATGAAATTATGTGCTCGTTGGCCAATTTAAGCCTGCACTTCGGATTTGTATTGGTTTCGAAAGGCTTTTTCCGGGTTACTCGGCCTTTAAAGATGTGTTCCCGTTATAAACGGCGGACGGTTTCCACAGAATACTTTTGGGCCATTTCATGCCCAACATTTACTATTAGTTTTGTCGCCAAATTTTTTGAATTAACATTAATTTTCCGGATAATTCACTTTTCCTCAAGCTTAATAAAAATTTGGTTAGGAGCATTTCGGCCAATATCTGCCTCCCGATTTTCCCGATTGAAGCTTGGGATGATTTACTGAACAGCACTTAGGGTAAGGTTAATTATTTAAGTAATATTTCGCCAAGTTTTTCCATTTTTAAAATGATAAAGGACCAATTCCCGCAGTTTGATAGTCGTGCGGAGCGCATTTTGGTAATTCACAGAAAACTGTATTTTCCTGTGATATGAAACGCATCGGAGGGATAAATAAATTAGCTGATATCGCATCCAATGAGTTACAAAAAGAATTAGCTAATTTAAAATAACAATTTACAAATTATATGTACCCAAAGTTTTTGCACGAAATAAGCTGTGACATAAAAATAACCAATATTTTTCGTTTTTTTAAGTTTTTATCGTTATCTAGTGGAATTGAAAAGCAATCAAGGGCTTAAATAAATGCTTAAGCCCTACTTAACATAACTGCGATTAAATTTTTTTCATATCTCCTATAGTTTTTCAGATATACAAGTTTGAATTTCAAGTTTACCTCTGCACGAAATAAGCTGTGAGCCACTGTATGGCATGGGCATGAGTCACGCACTCACACCCTCTCTGACTATCTCTCTCTCTTTCTCTCTCTCTCTCACTCTTTTAAGAAATCCCACAGTTGCGACTGCGCTCAAAAAAATCCATTGAGATCGCTAGAGCTTCTCTTTTGCCGGCTTTAGTTCATTTTACCTATTTCTTCTTCTTCTTGTGCTTGTTCTTGTCGTGCCATGTGTGCGTGTGTGTTTGACAGGTGCGTTTTGTTTGTGAAACAAGTACGCTTGCGATAGTTTCGGCCTCTGACGCATGAAGCGCTCGCTCTTTCTCACTTGCTCGCTGCCGCTCATTATCAGTTCTGCTTCTCCCCTGCAGCGCGACCAAAAGAAGCTACAAACAGTAATTACATACTTATACAAAATGCTCATTTGCCGCATTTTCATTTTCACACGCTCACAAGTGTTTTTAGCGCGCTCTCATTGAGCGGTTCTTTCGCTATATTTCACTCCTTCCACTTCCACTCATCTCCATTGGTTTTGCGTTCTCGCTCTCTTCGCTTTTGAGAGAGTCCATTCGGTAGCCTTCGGCTCAGTTCGGGTTTTGAAGAAACCTATAAATACAAGTGCAAGCGACTCATTCGGAAAAAAAATGTTAAAGATACTTTTCATTAAAAAGAAAGGTTGTAAACACATTTTAAAAACTCACGCGTTCCGCGATCGTTTACGTTTATCTTTACTCTAAATATTTTGGAATAATCGTTTAATCAAGTTCCAGTGTGATATTAGTGGAATAAGAAGTAACAAACAGAATTATACATATATTTTGAGGAAAAAAAAACCGATTGCGATCGTATTTTTGCAACTGGCTATCTTCGTCTCGCTCGCTCGCGCACCGAGAATTCGTGGTGTGTTGTTGTTCGTTTGTTAATCAGTTTATCGCTGTGACGTTGAATAATAATTTGTGTTTGCTCCAGTTTCATTTGGAACTAAAATTGGATTTTTTCTTTGACTGCAGCCACGTTTTTTGCTCCCTGTTGCGCTTTGTTTACGTGCGGATGTGTGTGAAAAGAGAAGAATAAATAAAAAATAAAAAAAGTGACTGTCAAACTGTTATTCCATACACTTCTTATCTTATTCAACTGGAATATTATATGTGTATATTGTGTATTCCGGTCCCATATCCCCCGCCTTGCTCTCGCTCAGCTGTGTGTGTGTATCTTTTGGTTTTCCAGTCAGCTGTCCGTGCTTTATACTTCCATCTTCTGCACAACTTTAACGAGTTTAGTTTCCTTTCCTGCTGTTTTTGTTGCTGCTGTTTTAAGCACTATTCTTGGCTCGCTCGCACTTTTTCTCTTTTGCCTGCACTTTTTGTTTATTGTTGCTGCTGCTGCTGCTGTTACCGCCGCTGTTGCTGTTGCCTTTGTTGCTTTAGTTTGTACACCGGCAACATAAACTGGTTTTTCGAGTTATTTATGACTTTTTTCCACAATTTATTTTGCCTGCCTTTTCGGTATCTGTATCTCATACTCTCTCTTTCTCTGTCTCTCTTGTGCTCCGCTCTTTGCTTCTCTGTGTCTGTTTCTGCCTCTTTCTCTCTCGCACTCCCACTCCTTTGTCTCTTCAGACTTTTGACCTGCAAAAGAAAAGTAAATGAGTTTAAAAAATCTATATAAAAATCAAGCGCTTAAAAGCCTTGGGTGTGCGATCTTTGGCTTTGGCTTTAATTTCGTAATGTGGCGAAAGTTAAGCGCTTTTTTATGGATATATTGCAACATATTTTCTGATGTATCAGAAGCTTCTCTTTCGCTCTGTTTCTCGCACACACACACACTAAAACAAAACGTAGCGGAAATGACAAATTAAAAACATTTTCCACAACTCCAATTGGCATTCCATGAAATGCACAAAGAGCAAACACAAAAACGTACACAAATATAATTATCCATTGTACAATGTGTGTAAATCAAAAAGAAAAAAAAATAATAATAATGTCCGGAAAAATGTGAAAAAGTGTGAAATATTGAATATAAAACAAAAAAAAAAAAAAATCTGAAATGAAAATTTAATTCTTATTTATTTTCCAAAAATAACCCCCAAGCTCCTGATGTGCCAATATCTGTGCTAAAAGGTGTTTAAAATACCAAAAAGAATTTAAGTGCAACTTCTCAACTTCAACAACAACTAAAAATTAAAGTAACAACAAAAACAGCAACGAACGAGTGAACGGCCGAAAGAGTCAACAGCTGCTCGGTCACAGTTTGACAGCCACTAACTGAGGACTGCGCTGTCGCTGCTGTGATCCCCCGCGACGCTTTTCTTCACTCCAATTTCCATGCATGCGGCCCATTCGCCATCTCGCTTGCACTGAAAGCACCGTTAATCGGAGTCTGCCGGGTTCGTTTTATTTTATTATTTATTTTTTTGTTGGCGTTTCCCTTATTTTCCTAGCATTTGTCCACTTATGTTAAACACATGTTAGTGCCAACACAGTTTCAAATAGCAGAAGGTGAAGAAGAGGAAGAGAAAGGGTTGTGGGAAAATAAATTTATATCCGTTTTCAGTATGACCAGGTGGGGGAATAAGAAGTTGAAATAAAAAATAAAACATACATTTATTATTATTATTTTATTTCCTTTAAAGTTCTTAATACTAGTTTTCCTTGGGATCTACAACTACGGGTACTAGGGAGATACATACATAAGTCTGACTAAGCAGAACCAATATTTAATAATACTAATTGCTTTAGTAACTAGGCAGTTTAGCAGCTTCCTTATTTACACATTTTTTTTTTGCTTAATATTCAGAGCGGATAACGTTATACTGATTTAACCTTGAGGTTGATTTATACAAAATATAGTGTAGTTTTAGAAAGTAGTAAGCAAGAAAGCATACAGCAACAGCATTAACTCGCTTCGCGGGAAAATTCTAAGGAGAAAAGGGCCTCATCTGCAGAATTCCTATTAAACATACCTGATTATCTGATGGCATTAAATTAGAGAGATTCACGGAGATTTGCAATATTAAAGCAGGCCCCATGTTGTTGACTTCCGCTTGGAACTGTGTAATTTTATCTGTGACTATTGACAGAATTGACTTCACCCGGCCTTCTGGCAGACACATGCCGATTAAAGATAAATGGGAAAGAAGCGTGATTGCTCAAATTGCATTGGCCGCGACATTGAACTCGGCGAGAAGCTGCAAACCTGGCAGCTGAAAAAAGCGATGAGTAAAGAAGAGTAGAGACATCTTCAGTTGGCAAGCGCAATGCAAACGCACGTGCTATTTTTCAATGTCGTAGATAATTCAATTCAATTCATTATTGGACGCCCACCCACTCAACGCCCATTCAAGGTGGAACATAGAAAGGAAGGAATCGAGCGGAAATTACGCAAATATGAGGGCACCGAATGGAAGAGGGAGGTAATACAACCTGGCCGGGTGAAGGAGACCTAGTTGGATTCGGGGTCACTTTTACCCAGTCTGAACGTGCCAAAAGGTTGAGCCATGCAGGAAGAAAGCACTAGAAAGCAAATTACCGACAATTTTACAGGCACACAAACAAATAACTTGTTAAACAGCTGCGGACACAATAATAGCCTAGGCTGTGCTCAGAATGCAATTTATTATTTTTAATGGTTCAATGTGATTTTAATATTAATTAAAAGCATACTATTCCGTAGGTGAAACTTTAAAGATTATTTGCAAACTATATATAAATAAATAAAAAGCATATTCGGCTAAATAAAGGCGTGTTTTTCCAACCGAAGCTGTATTTAGATTTGCAGATTTCCTAGATTGTTGGTAGTTTTATGCTGTTTCACATCTACATACATACATTCTTTGATAGTAGTTTTGGCATCTGACCTCTGTGGAGCCCATTTGCATAGCTTTTGGCTTTTGCACGTGTCAGAGCTGGGAGGCTAAACTAATTAAAGCCTCCACCGCAAACAGGATCTGCGGGGCGACGGGCAACGTTGCACATTCAATGTTAATCTAACATGCAAAGGTCAATCGTCCATTGAGGCACCCCCATACAGATACATACATACCTAGACTTACTCGGACACACAGATACAACACACTACTCTCATTGTGCACTTTTCAGTTGGAGGCTGTGCCGTTGATAGACTACGTCGTCAATGGAACTGTTGCTGTTGTTGTATTTATTGTGACAGTGACGTGCAAGCCCAGCCCCAAACCTGGCTGCTGCACAGTGGGGAAAATATGGCTGTCACCCAAAGCCCCATTCACACTTTTCGAAATGCGTAAAACGCTTTTATTTGCCAACTTTTTAGCAAACTATTTCTGTAAATTACTTTATTGAATACACCAACACATTATTAAGATAATCTCATTAGCAAACCTATTATAATTGCCTTTACAGTATACATAATTAACTTTAAAGCGATGATCATCAAATATTGTTCGCATTTTAGAGTAGTATACACATTGATACATTTTCTATCAGCATTGAACATTTTGTTTGTCTTAATATTCGGGTATCATGTCGATCTAAGTTATATTTTAATTTATTTGTTTTCTGAGGAAAACAAACCCGTTATTCCAACTCCAAAGTCACTCTAATTAAATGAAAAAATATTTTTTTGCTTTGACCACTGTGCAAAATGCAGTGGCGCTTGCTTCCCTCCCACTTTCCTTGATAGGCTGCGGTTGCTGCATTCTCTTCTCTTTCCTTCCGTCCTTCATCCATGCCATTCTGCAGTCGCCCGCCTTCCTTTCTCCTTTCTTCTGTCTTACACTTGCCACTCGTCTCGTTCATTTCGACTCGCTATTGTCTGACGTCGCTGCTAATCAAGGCGCGCTTATCTAGCCAACTTGTTAAGTGAGTGTATATGTGTTCGTTCTCGAGTGGCTTGTCTGTGTGCAAGGCTTTTTCTCTCTCTCTCTCGCCCTTCTTATCAGTGCTGATAGGTCAGTTGGAGTGTGTGAGTGTGTTCATTTATGTTATGCGAATCAAAATGCGATTGTAGTTGCTGTTGTTTTTGTACTCCATGTATGTAAATAGCTTCGCCTTTCAAAACGTCAAAATGCCATTGAAAGTGGATACTGACACATTACGTTACGTTCCGCTACGTTACGTTACGTTGTTGAGTTGTGAAAGCAATTTGATTACGTTTACAAGCTAAGCGCATATCGAGCATCTTTAGATTCAAATACATTTTTTAACATTATAAAATCATATACACTGCCAGGAATAAAATTTCGAATAAATAGAAAATCGTATGGGTCTTGTAAATTAGTTCAACCATGTTCTAAAATGAGTTTAAAGGTTCTATGATTTTTTTTAAAACCTTAAACTATTTTGACTGTTATGTGAAAGAAATTATTTGATATTTAACTTTTTGAGCACCACAAATAAAAACCTAACTATATGAAAAACATCCAGGGAATCCCTCTGGTTAGGGCTTTGCATACGATCGAGTTATTCAATATCTATTAAAATGTAACACGAAGAGTATTCTCTCTTCTGTTATTCAAATTGATTTTCGTACGTTTTTTCAATTGATATGCATAATTGAAATTCAATTGCTTGTGTTGGCAATTATAATGAAATTGTTTGTTTCTATAAATAGCAGTTACAGAAACAACAAATCAATTGCGAGCCATTGAAAAGGAGCGGAGGGCATAGAGTCAGAAAAGATGGGGAATATGGGGAGATCAGAGGCGAAAACAAGTGCTGCATAACGTCACACAAATCTCTAGCTGATAAGCGATGTGCCCACATTGGAACACACTCACACGCTTGACACAACGATTTCCTTTATCACATTAGTTTGCCGTTCTTTTTCTCATTTTCATTTGTTTATTTCTCAGCGGTATTTGGCCATGTTGCTTATGTAATTTTCCAAAAATGATTGGTGATTACTTTGCGGGTTTTTCTGGGGCTTCTTTAATGAGCTGTTCTGTTTTCCCCCGGGTCTTAATTGAATTTTTGCGAGTTAGTCACCGTTTTTCACTGTGCACTGTCTCACCTTAGCTTCTAATCAATACTCTATTAAATTATGTGAATTTCTTTTGCGGTTTATCTGGCTTTCTACTTTTCTTTATCTTACATTTTCTGTTTCATAGGGTTGTCAGATATGTAAAAAAAAATCATTGATTGGGATGTGAAGTTAAAATCAATCTTGATTGGTTTAAATAATAACATTAACTAAACTGATTAAAATTAAACATTATATAAAAATATTTCACGTAAGAAATACTATAATATTTTTCAATTTGATAACATTCTGATATTTGGGGCTGACAACCCTGGCTAATGTTGTGATATTGTGGCTTTAACAAATTCTAATTGGGATTTTCCGCTGTTTGCGGTTTCTGCTGTTGTCGTCATCAGCGCAGGTTCTCTCTTTTCCTCTCTATTCTATAGCCCCTATTCCGCATTGTCCCATTCCCTTCCCATTCCATCACTCTTGTCGTTATTCTTTGAGTCGGATTTGTGTTCAATTTACACTTGATTTATTTATGAGCCACACATACACACACCTAGAAATATAGATACAGGTGCAGATAAGAATGTGTTTGCCGGAGTATATGTATGTGAGTGTGTGCATAATTTTATTTTTAGCGCCTGGCTTATTTTTAATTATCGATTTTGTTTTTCTCTTTGCCCAAAACACGTATCAGGTGAAATAAAAAAAAAAAAAATCAAAATATGTTTGGGCTTTCTTTCTTTGTTTTAGCATTTCACTTTCATTGAAACGGGTTTCTTGTCTGGCGCTCTTTTTTTTAGCTAGTTGTTTTTATTAATTAGCATTAAGTTTGGCAACAAGTGTTAATTGGCTTCTTTTTTTTACGAAAGTTAGGTAAGCTAATATAACCGGTGGTTAAAATAACATCCTGTCTGTGTAATATAATATTGGGGATAATTTTTCTCCAGAAGGTGTTTGAAATAATAAATGTGTTTATTATTAAAAATAATACCATAAAACCTCATATTAAACATAAATACTGATTTACTAAAGCAATGAATACAAATACATAATTTATCCTCCTATAAAATAGTCTTTAAGCTTTTTAGCTGTGGCTTATTAACGCATGATGTCCAGGAAACAGCCCCAACTGCTGCCATTTTCTCACATTTAATTCATAAAAAAAAGAAACAAAAAAAAATTAAGAACAACCCGAAGCGACAACTTGGGGAACCCGTTTTCAGACCAGGCCACAGGCTGTAGAAAGCAAAGAGAACGACCTCAAAAAATAAAAATAAGAAGAAAAACATTACGGAGACACACCAGCGAAGAAGTAAAAACTGTTTAAAATGGGGAGCCGCCAGATATATACCGAAGAAGTGGAGACAAACGATCGATCTCTGGACATTCAGGCGTTTATACGTTAATACTCGTCCATATGTATACATGCATGTAGTGTGGCGGTGAGAGTATGAACCAGTTTTACCCGCAGGATATTAAGCCATAAAACAGTCAAAGCAATAACAAGAAAGACATGAAAATAGAAATGTCCAGCCATTGGATACCCTAGAAAAGCCTGTGTGCAAAATATACCAGTTTAATGGCTTATGATAGATGCGTGTTGTTTGATTATCGTTGAACGGGTATACTGAAAAATGTAGTGCACTTTGGTCTGCACTTATATGGATCAAGTTACTTTAGTTTACTTTTGGATTTAACTTATTTATTTTTTGTCCTTTATAAAGAGCATTTTTTAACAGAGTTTTCCTACCCTCGTATAAAATCTTTATGGCGAACCCTACGCCTCTATTGATCCGCAAAAGGTTAATAAACTTTTTTGGGAAATTTACGCATATTTTGGAATATTCATTCTGAAAGATAGTCTTATAGAGCATCTATGTAGGGTATATGAGGCAATTGAATTCCCTCTTCGGCTCTGTTAAGTGGTCAACACAAAAATAGGGGGAATGTGGGGACGAGGGCAAAGAAGGAACTTGTAATCGAAGTCAAACTCGAACTCGAACTTGTTTCTGCCTCATTTCGCGCCGTCCCTCTCTACCCACAGCAATTTACTCTTTAATTGTTATCGGCGGTTTTTACTCAGTGCTATTTTTTTTTTAACTGCCGCGCTTAACGGTACAATTATCGGTTGTATTGTATGAGTGTGTATGTGTGTGAGTGTGGCTGGCCAAGAAACTTGTGGGCAGATAAGATTTTCCGACTCCCGTTCGCAGCTGGCTGACTGATATTAGATGAAAGTACGAGTTCGAGCACGAGTGGGAATAACCAATAATTTCCTGTTAATGGTCTGGGCGGTTACCGGGGTTTCCAGCTTTGGCTTCTTCATTTCATCTCAGATAATCAATAGAAAACTGCATGTGCAACAATCTAATGTTGTAATTCGAGGTATTTGTTGTTGTATATGATCACTGATTTGAGGCGTTAGCCTAAAGATCGGTTTACTTCAAGTTTGGCTAAGAACGTATTAAGTTGGTTTTGTAAAACAGTTCTTGGGTTAGCCAGAAAATAGATACTGATGATAAAGTATGCCTAATCCCTAACAAATTTAGCTATGACCTGGAATAGGTTTATCTTCCACCTTTAGTTTATAAAGCTTTAACGTTTAAAATTCAATATAAGTTCAAAGTATTTTAATTACAAATGCATAAGGGATAAAATGTTTGAGACACTAGACAGCATTTGTACTCCTATCTTGATCCAAATAATAATCAAATCCGTGAAAATTACTTTATAAACACAACGGAATCCACTCGACTTTAGATTGCAAATGTTAGAAAGCCCTTAGACTCTACCTTGAGCAAGTTGATAAGTTATCTTTATTTTCGTTTACATTGTCTTATTTGACTTCTTTATTGGACTTATTCCCGTTCCCTTTATGATGCCTGAGTCATTTGCGTTACATTATCTTTAATCCAAAGAGAGAAAAGAGCAGAGAAGTCATAACTTAACCCTTAACCTAAATAAGCAACGATTAAGGGCTGGAATTCCGAATACCAGCCAGTGGCATTGAACTAAATTTTGCAACTGCGAAAAGCATGGGAAAATTAAAGATCTTGCACACTGGCCACACCCATCACGAACTGCAACAAAGCAAAACCTTTTGTCTTAATCAAACATATTTCCCTTGTCTGGCCATGAGTCACTCCACTCGAAGCTCGAAGCACTCCGCTTGGCTCTCCACTCTCGACTCCCGGCTCTCGAGTCGGACTCCCCGCGAATGGTTACGCCTGGGCGAGCTGTGTCGACATGTGGCGGCCATAACCACCAGCCAGCCAGTCAGTTCTCTATTCCATAGTTTGTAAACAAAAAGTCACCTGGCCTACGAATCGATTCTTCGTTGTATTGGCCACTTGAAAATGCAAAGAGTTTCTGTGTCATTGTCCTGGTCTTGGCTTTTTATAACTATTTTTCTAGCTATTTATAAATACATGCTTATAGTCGGGCGGTAACACGCCATGACAGTTTCTATTTTGGTCGGGTTTTTGAACTTCACTTTGACTTCAGTTTTTATATACATAGTTCGATCTAGTTTTCTCGGGACTTTAGTCTCCCAAAATTAAATGTTGCGCAAATATTTATCCCTACCGAACAAGATAAAGGGTGAAGAGTACGTATACGTAGGGAACTGAAGGATCAATTTTAGTAAAAAGGTAGAAACTGAAAGTGAAAGAAGAATTCTTCTTAAGCCTATCACAATTTTAATACATTTTTGTTTTGTTTACTTTTGTTGCCTGACATTTAAAGCTGTGAATGCTTGGGTTACAATTTCTTATTAGCTTAGACTGGAGTTCTTGCTCTCCCCTATTCCCAGACCCATTCTGATCCCAGAGCCCTCAAGTGCCTACTTTATTGCCTTGAACTTAGTTACTTACTAATCGATTTCCGTTCTCAATTTCTTTTTCATTGCAGTGGCGGTGGCCCCCAAACGACAACTGCCGGTCCATCCGCTGGTAATGTGGCTAATGCCACCACAGCCCTAGCCGGTGGTAAGAGCTCAAGCAATAACATGTATTCCACCCGCCAATCTGTAAGCACCACAACCGGTGTACTTATGGTCGGACCAAATTTTCGTGTCGGTAAAAAAATTGGCTGTGGTAACTTTGGCGAATTGCGTTTAGGTAAGTAACAACAATAATAAAAACTACAAATAATAATAATAAATATTCAAGTAAAAGGACTCAGTATATAATCGATAATTCCATTTCCCTGTTGTCATCTTCATCAGTGTTTTTAAAGATCGATCCGTTTAGTGGTGGTAGAATAGGAGTTTTTTTTTATCTAAAGTTGAATGAATATTACGCTTTATTGTTACTTTAGAACTTTAGAAAAATAAATAATGAAATAATTTTCATTATTTATTTTTAGTAAGAAAGGAAAGGAATTATCTTTTACCTTTTAGAAGGAAACCATTTCGTAAGGAATTACTGACATTTGCGTTTTGTTAAGTTTCTATAAATTCAATAATTTTATAATGAAAACTTATAAAATTTTAAACATTTTTCCACTTAATTGAAATTATTTAAAGGTGAATTAATAAAAATGTGTTCATTTCTCAGGGTAATTTTCGCATCTTTTGAGTCCTCCACTCTGTTCAATCTGTCAAAATAACTGTAAATAAATGATAAATTATGTTTACAATTCAAAGACAGACTTTATAATGTCCGCCACAGTCGCCTTTCTTACGTCTTTCCCCCCATTTTCGCCTGTTGGCATGCAAATAATGTGTTCTCGGGCTTTTCTTCATTTATTTTTCGGGTAGCCATTCTGGTTGGCCACTTCCTTTCGGCGGGCATTCCTTTCCAGGTTTGTTAGCCACAATGAGAACAGGGCTCCCCTTGCTCTGTCTCCTTTGTCGCCCCTCGAGTTCCTTTCATTTATTTTTACTTACGAGAGTGCACAATACAACAAAATGCCATACCATTCCGCCATCTGTTTTCTTGGCGGCGTCGTTGTCGTTGTTGTCGTCACTTTTGCTTTGTTTGCTAAATGCGCTTTTATAAAGTTGTTTCATACCGGCCCCGCCCCCTTCCGACAGTTGTTTTTTTATTTGTTGTAATTTTTTCATTTATTTACTTTTTTTTTTGGGCCTGCCACTTCCTTTTGTGCATTTGTTGTCACATTGCCAACAGGTAGCAGTACTGAGTAGCTAATTTTCAGGGAGCTCAGTCAGTGCAGCTCAAACTGTACACTGAAAAAAAGTTAATTGAAAATAATATAGTATTTTAAAAATATTTTTAATATTTTGTATTTTCTAAATATTCATATTTTTAAAGGAAATACATGAGAATAAATTATTTATCTATAATTTTGAACTCTCTTTCTCTCTGCCTGGCTAAGTCGTGATCAACATCTCGATATTTATTCTCTCTCGATTTGTTTGCATTTTTCTTTTTGTTTTGTTTCTATTTATTTCATGCGGTTTTGCATGATTCATTCAACCAACGCGTTGGTAAATAAAAAAAATCACACTGAAAAGCTGCATTTAATTGGCTTTCTTGATTATTTTTTATAACTAATTAAGTTAATGCGATCTCCTCAATATTATTAGCTTAAATTTTGCAATAGAATTTGTTATTGTGACGTAGTAACAAAACATTATTTCTCTTGCTTATGATATCATTTTTATTAATTGTGGTCTATAAATACAATTGGCCAAGTATGTGTTTGTTGATTCTTTGCTTTTGTTATTAAATCAGATTAGTGCCGAGAAGTTGAGATAAAAGCAAACTATTTGGCATTTTCACTTTTGCTTTTTGCCCTTTCCTTAAATTGCAATCAAAATGACATAATTTTTGTGTTTTTGCCTCAAAGCAGGGCCATTTCTTTTATGCTTTCCCACTTTTAAAAGAAATAATTTATTAGAGAGAGAGAAAGAGAGAGAGAATTGGTTGGGAAAGCAGAACATTGACCAACCTAAATACTTTTACGCCTTTTTTCTTCGCTCATTTTTATGGGCGCTTTGCGTGGGCGTTTCTCGTTTAATTTTGGGAATTTTTGTTTTATTTTTGCTTAGCGCAGCCCAGCACGCCCTTTAAAAAGTTGTGCTCTTGCGGAACCTCATTTTGGTTCAGTTTCTTTGAGCTCCCCTTATTGTTTTCAGCAGAACTCTTTAAGGTTTGTTTCCCCTTGTTTTTTTTTGCGGTATATTTACTGTGATTAATATTGTATATTGCGTTAGGTCACGGTATTGCAGGTGATTTGGTCATCGTTTTTAGTGCCGGGGTTTCCCCTTTTGGCGGAATTGTATCGCTCTGATCAATATTCAGAACTGGTTTTCCATGATTACATTTTAGGAAGTAACCCTAGTTGATGCTGATTCTTTTCATGAAACAATTTTCATTTAAAATGGTATTTGTTGCCGGCACTTTAAATGGAAATTGTTTACGGCTTCCGACAGCCCAGCAATTAAAGAAGGCGTCTTGCTGCACAATTTTGCATGTGTAGACTAAAATTGTAAAGAGCGAGTAATTATTGTTAATTTGGCAGTTTTTGGTTTTGTCTCTGTGTTTTGCTTAGCTTCTTGTTTTTATAGCAGCATCGTAAATGCTGCATCGTTCTAAGAAAATGCTTTCGAGGGGGCAATTAAGGGGCGTGGCAGCAAAGGGCGTTGCTTGCGGTCTTTCAGCATGTAATCAAAGTCATGAGGTGCCGTGTGTGTGTGCGAGTGTATATGTTGTGCTTGTGATGACTCTATCAGCGCTCTAATGTTGTGTCTGTTGATAAGCAACGTCTGTATCATACAACCACCCACCCAACCCATACACGGACACAATCACACCGAACGTTCATTCACTGGGTGAGTTCGCTCACCGCCGCCTCTCCCATGACATAATTTCGCACATGAGCGAACCGCTCATCGTTGTCACATTCCCTCGACTTCTGTCTGCTGCGTCTTTGTCTCTGCGTCGCGTCGTCCCATCAAAAATGCAATTCTCAAATTATGTACAACCTTGTTCTCAATTCTACTTCCGAAAGATTTGCTGGAGCTCCAAGCTTTTAATCTAGTTAGGAATGATTATAATTGGATATTTTCAAATTCGAGGATCAATATGAAAAAGTAAAGCCTCTTTAAATTTAAAAACAAAATTTAAAATAAATTTATTTTAAATTATTGTTAAGCAAACTTTTGTGACACTTGAAATAGAAAATGTTTTAGATTTTTAATCAATTTTATTTGCCTCTAAAAAGCATGCTACATACCTTTAAAAGAAAGATTAGCATTTAAATATTTATTTACTTAAAAAAATATAATTGTTTAAATTTATATAAAACTAAATTATTATTAATTTATATATTTAAAATATTTTTCACATAAACCGACAAATTAAATGGAGGTGTTGAGAATAAGGGGCATGTGTTCTTAGCCAAGTTCTCACCCTCTTTATTTTTATTCCCATTTGGCTAGGTCGTCGCATGTGTTGCTTTGGTGGTGTTGGTGTTGGAGGTGGGCGTGTTGGGCGTGGCACAGCCGAGAACAGTAGTGCGGCAGGTAAAGGCGTTGAATGCATGCAAATCGCGATAGTCTTGAGCATGAAAACACCTGTGCGTGCCAGTGTCTGTCTCTTCTTCTCTTAATGGACGTTTATTTTTTGACATTGCAGATTGAATTTGGATTGAATTTGAATTGTTCTCCAATTAAGTTGATCGCCTTTTCTTACTAATCTGTATTTCTCTTTTTCTCTTTTGCAGGCAAAAATCTTTACAACAATGAACATGTAGCAATAAAAATGGAGCCTATGAAGTCAAAGGCTCCGCAACTACACTTAGAGTATAGGTTTTATAAACTATTAGGATCACATGGTATGTAAACAATTGATATATTTGAAACTATAAAACCCCTCTCTACAATCCAACCCTTAACTTTTCCAACGCTGTCGTCCCCTCTTAACACTAACTGATAATTTACTTACAACTACTAATCAAAGACTTTCAAATAGCTCTGATTAAGTTCAGATTGTGTGAGGATTCAAATCTTTTAGTCCTTCCTTCACTTTCTCTCTCTTAAGCCCCAAACCTAATTTCTTACTAACCAAAAAACCTACTGAAAAGTAAAAAGTTTTGCACCGTTACCACCACTTGATTAGTTCCATACGTAAACGAATGTATTTATTATTTTCCAACAAAACTTTTTGGTACCTCAGCAGTGCACAAACGCACTGAGAGGAATGAATACGACGAAAAGAAAAACATGAATAGATTTTCTCAAGCATATTTTCGGAGGTCGGTCGGTGCGTGAAGTGAAATTTGAAGAAATGAATAAATAAAAATAAAAACAAAAAAACTGTATAAACACCACTCTTTTATATTGTATGTCTGCAGTGGAGCAACTGTTATACTGTTATACCTGCCAATGTAAAGACAGCTCGAATATCACTTTACCGCTAAATCTCTAATAATTTGTCTATATTTATATATATACGTATGCGTATATATAAACCGATTTCTGAACTATTACTACCTTACAATTTTTGGTTAAATATTTTTTTTTGTATCATATTTTTTATTGCTTTCTATTGCATTTTCTTATTTGTTGGTTTTATAAATATATTGCTCTCTGTTCCTCCATATTTCATCAACTGCTACAACAACGATAACTACAACACCAAATACCAAAAACAACAAATGTTTGCAATGAATTTTTGAAAACAAAAACCGTTAAATTGAAACTTAAACCCAAATCCGATCATCATGCGCTGCTCTCTATCTATCTACATATATATATGTATGTATCTCTTCCCGTGCCTGCTGCAATCAACCACAACAAACAACCAAATCCGAAAACCATAATTTGAAACTGAATCGAATCGAAAAACCTACAAACAACCGATCAACCGTTGCATAATGCATTGTGATGACATGTCACCTATAATAATGATCCAACCCCTCAATCACCAACCCCCACCATTATTTTGGACCCGCAATCGGAATTGGAAATGCGAAATCGAAATCAATATCATTATTATCGAAATGAAGCCGATAACGCCCCAGATGGCATACCACGCATTTATCATTTGGGCACTTGCGGTGGCCGTTATAATGCCATGGTTTTAGAGTTATTGGGATTATCATTAGAAGATCTCTTCAATATTTGCGCCCGTAAATTTTCACTTAAGACTGTATTGATGATAGCGAAACAACTTGTAAGTGTGGCATCCTCTTCGGTATTGGAAAACTTTTATTTCTCGAATCAAAAGTGTCTCAACGGCTAAAAGCTAGGTTTCTTATTGTTTTCCTAATTTAATTTGATTTACAAAAAAAAAATACTATTCCAAAAGTCTTAGCAATCACGCAATGAACGTTAGTCAAGTTTTTAGTTTAATGTAGACTTATTGAAAATGTTATTAGTAGATGTAATGAATAAAGTCGGCATATTTTTTTTTTTCGTCTTTTGGTTGTAGCTTCCAAGAAAGAAATTTTCTAACCACAAAAGCAAATCCCCAAAAGCATGTAAACAAAGCGTCGTAATAGAACTTTATATAAGGCATACAAATTAAATTCTTCCTTGTACATAATACCGATAGTAATACTTTTCTTCTATATTGTACTTGAAACAACTGCAACAAAGCATTTTATATAACAGTTCCGTTGTTATACTTACCCATTCTTCAGTTGTCGTTCTCTACTTCACTTTTGTTTCCGTTTATCAAACTTACTTTTCTTTTGAATACGCTCTCCCTTTACTTTTGACAAATAAAGTATACGATGTATATAACTTAACAAAAAATATACTAACACAGTACGAAGAGATCTATCAAACTCGTTATCTGAAATTTTGGAAAATCCTACAAACTGTTATACACACTACACACAACAACAAAAGACAACCAAGTACTTTAGCTTTAAGCTTAGTTGTAAGCACACACACAAAAACTGTTATACACGAAGGCGGCACCTGCCACAATTTCCACTGGTTAGGAGGTCAATAATAGAGGTTCGGAGGAGGAGGATGAGTTGGTAGCTGAGTTCTCGTCTCCAGTTTGGTCGTCCAGCAGGCTTTTCTTTGTGTATATGCTTCGAGAATCTCTATTTTTGTTGTTCTTGTTGTGTTTAGCACAGTTACCCAATTATGTATTTATATTTTCGCTCGCTCTCTCTCAAATGAAAGGTGGTAATATCGTAAGACGCGCTACACTAACCTCCAAACCATGAGATGTATCTCCATCGCTCTCCACACATCACTTTCCCAGTCTGTGTCTCTGTATCTTTCCTTTTCTTGTTCCCAACCCGTAAAAAAAAAAAAAAAAAAAAAAAAAATAGAAGTACAGCAAAAGAAAAAAAAAGTTATAGCTAAGAAAAAAAAAAAAACAAAAGAAACTGAATTTGTTTTCTATTTTGTATCTCTCATCTTTCTTTCTTCTCTCTCTCTCTCATTTCTCTTTTTATCTCGCGCTCACGAATTTTTGCATAAATACAACAAAAACAACATCAAAAAACGACAAATCGAACAACCAAAAAAATCTTTTGTGCGCTGTCCAACACTCGAATAAATAAACACTACTCGCTCGCTTCCTCCAAACAAAATTCCATGTCAACCCAACCAACCACCAACCGATATCACTTGAATCTATCAATCGTTCGATCAATCGATAGCAGAGGGTGTACCAGAAGTATATTACTTCGGCCCTTGCGGCAAATACAATGCTCTTGTTATGGAGTTGCTTGGTCCATCACTTGAAGATTTATTCGATATTTGCGGCAGACGTTTCACTCTGAAGAGCGTACTACTGATAGCTATACAATTAGTAAGTACAACCACTAAAAATCCACCACAAAAACAAAATAAAACAACCAACGCTGCAACGAAAAAAATAGAAAAAAATAACAGAAATATGCAATCAGCTAAGTTTTCTTTAAGCACCCGCATAACTCTGCACATAATCACATCCACAACACTGGTAGCCGAGATCGAAATTAACCAACACTAGCACTAAGACAGAAAACCAAAAACACCTTTTGTTTGTTTGGCTTGTTTGTGGGTTTTGGGGCGTTGTGTGTGTATATGTATGTGTGTGTGTGTTTTTTTTTTATCAGGACAGCTTGGTTAAAATTTAGTTTGTACTTTTACTTTATAACTCTAAATTTTTATTTGGATTTTCATTACTAACCAGAAACAATAAGGTCGATGCCGCCTCTCTTTTCTTCTCTCGACTCTCTCCGACTCACTTTATCTCTCATTATTATTGCAGACGCCTGGTTGAGGTTTAATTTATAATTAAGTTTCAAGTTTTATTAGTTTTTTTTTTTTAGTTTGCATACATTTTAAGTGCTTATTTAGGAAAACTAGTTATTAAACAACTCTACAAATCCAAAAACATAACGTTCATTGTAATGACTATAAATTTGCATGTACACATCAATTTCGTAGTTTAATATAGAAATTCCTGAGTTTTTTTCAATTTTGATTTATCAGCGAAATCAACCTATATAAATAATTGAATAATCGATGCCATCAAACAATATCTACAGTAAAAAACAGCTAGTTGAGACACTACAGAAAAAAAGTGATATCAATATTTCATTTCAAAGAGCAATCAATACCTGTTTTAATAATAATCAAAGTATTGAATGTTCTGCGCAGTAATTAAAGAAACATACTAATATATTTCTTCTTCTTTTCCAACACATTATGAACTATGAAAATGCAGCTCCACCGGATCGAATATGTTCATAGTCGGCACTTAATATATAGGGATGTTAAACCAGAGAACTTTCTCATTGGCAGAACGTCAACAAAACGTGAAAAAATTATACATATAATTGGTAAGAGTAATTTAATAATTGATATAAACTTATCATACAATTTTCAACTGTTTCAGATTTCGGTTTGGCCAAAGAATACATTGATTTAGATACAAATAGGCATATACCATATCGGGAGCATAAATCCCTAACTGGAACGGCACGTTATATGTCTATCAACACACATATGGGGCGTGAACAGTCGCGTCGAGACGATCTGGAGGCATTGGGTCATATGTTTATGTACTTCTTAAGAGGTTCACTGCCGTGGCAAGGCCTGAAGGCTGATACACTCAAGGAGAGATATCAAAAAATCGGTGATACGAAACGAGCAACGCCCATTGAGGTGAACTATCTCAATCAATGCCGCAAAATATTCCCATCAAAATGTGGTTAATCCATTTGAATTCTGAACTAATAACATATTTCTCTCACGTCCAGGTGCTTTGCGACGGACATCCTGAAGAGTTTGCGACATATTTGCGTTACGTACGGCGGTTAGACTTTTTCGAAACTCCCGATTATGATTTCCTGCGAAGACTGTTTCAAGACTTATTCGATCGTAAGGGATACACCGACGAGGGCGAGTTCGACTGGACAGGGAAGACTATGGTGAGCCTTTATTTCCATCTCCATTTAAATCACATTTTTCTTAAGATACTAAAAAAAAAGCACACAAACCACTACATGGACTCTGCCGAATTCTAAATCTTACCCCTAATCTAATTTATAGGAGACATAGATAAGAGCAAGTTCTTAGTTATATAGAGAAATAATATCCGTTCCAGTAAGATATAACCTCGAAGCACTTTGAAATTAACTATCATCATTTAACTCTGAAATCATTTTGAATGATGGGAAGCATCTTTGAGCATGACAAAAGCAAGTCGATTAACAGAGCCACATTACTAGCACCGCCGCCGCCGCCGCCTACAGCGTCCACTAAACCCTTTGCGAATGATCCGTATCAATTAACACAAGGGAATGCAATTAAGTGGCACTATCAGTTGATAGTGTAACCCTGTGTAACCCATCATTATCATGGCTGGATCTTTGTTGTAACGCCACCGGTTGCCATGTTATCGCAGCTGCAGCACAGAAGACGGGCACAGTTAGTTGCAAGTTCCATTCTTGTTGCCCCATGGCATATCCTCCGCTTTTAATGACTTAATATATATTTTTATAACTTGCCCCACACCACCAGCAAAATTAGGTATATAAATTAAAGAGCAAACAAAAAAGCATTAAATCAGTAAAAACCCAAAAATATGAAACGTGTGTCTTTTTAATCATTTATACTTTCTCCTAACGAACCGAACCGACTTTGTCATCGATTTTGATGATTTTCTATGTTTTGATTTTAAGACAAAGGAACAGCTGGACCAAATGAAGGTCATAAAGAATGCACCGCCATCGCATTTGGCCAGAAATAAGTCTGACAAGGTATTAAAAGCACAGAGGATATAGAAGTGAATCCTAAGATCTAAATCAGTGTTGCCTAGCCTTGTATGATGCTCGAACGCTCGCTCAGTGTTGGTAAATGCTTATTTTCAGTGTGTAAGCTCGTTGCTTTAGGTGGTTAAGCTAGAGTTCGTTAAGCGAGAAATTAATTAAACTAACATAAGCAACCAAAATTGATGCCATTTTTAACAGCACTTCTCTTCTCTCCTTGATCTCTTTTCTCTTTTCTCGGTTGTCAACACCGTTTCATGTGCGTGTAACTCTCTCTGTGTGTGTGTAATAAACAAACTACTGCATCATCTATATATAAACATGTGTAATCAAAAAACAAAAATAAATGCATTCACATCACTACTGACACAAACAGTCAACGCCCGTCGGATCTCTGCAAACTGGCCATGAAGTCATCATTTCACCAAATAAAGATCGTCATAATGTTACGGCTAAGGTAAAGTATACAAAATGCAATGATTTACTAGCACAATTCGAAAGGGAAAACAATTTGTTACTCTGTCTCTCTCTCTCTATCTCTATATATTTATATCACTGACAAAAACCTAACTTGTTTACGTTTTAATAATGGTTATAAGACAAACAACAATTATCCTTGTTTCAACTTAGCTTTAGCGAACTTTTTTCTCTTTGGTTACTCAGTTCCTTACTTCTAACATTCGTTCTTAACTGCTCTTCTTTCTCTACTTATTATGCTCAACGCTTTTGTTTTGATCCTACTCTTCTCCCTCATCCACACAAAATATGCTATATAAACCTATACATAGGATGTTTCTTATTTTGATTTTGATGACGATGTTGAAAATGAGAATGAGAACGAAGAATATATAATACTTCAGGTTAGACGTTGTAGACTTGAAAAATATCTCTGTACTGGTTAGTGTGAACTAAAATGCTCTTCTACTACTCTCCGCACTCGTACTCTTGAGACTGGTCTTAGGGTAATCGCTAGGGCTCTTTACATTTTGATTTCATATAATTTCTTTGGCTTCATATAATAGGCTTTTCGAAAAGAACTACTCTATTAGGCTGCACCTGTATTCCCAAGCTGATACTTGTAGGGGCTTAACTAATCTAACCTAGTTCTACAACTGTACAGTGCGCTTGTGAATCAATCGGTAAATGGGAATTGTAAAGATATTTAATATTCTAACTTGATCTGATGATCTGCGCTCCTAAGCCTGCCGTTTGTTGATTTTACTTTTCATTTGTTGTCTGGCTTTAAGTGTCTACCGTATGGATTAAGAGTATGTTTTTGGTTCTATTGTAGCACACCTCCTGACTTGCTTTAGTTTTATTTAGACTCTCCAACACACACACACCCTACCTAAATTAAATACACTCGCATATAATATTAGAGCTGTCTATCTCTTTGTTGTACAGAAATAAACTAAAAAAAACGAAAAACTTTTTAAAATTGAAAATTAATTATTGATAAACTTGCATAAATCCGTTTCCAACAATTGCTCGCTCGCAAACCGAACCGAACTGTACCCAATCGAAAAAAAAAAAAAATACAAATCGAAAAAACCAACTGTCCAAATCCTTCACCACCACTTCAACCACCACCACACCACCCGTACCGTACCGCCCAACCACAGACAAATGCCAAAGGAGGTGTTGCTGCGTGGCCTGATGTGCCCAAACCAGGGGCAACACTGGGCAATCTAACGCCAGCCGATCGGCATGGTTCAGTGCAGGTAAGTTTGCTGCGACAACCGGCCAGTGTTGTACAACAGTATTTCTTTTTTTTCCTTCCGTTTTCGTCTCCATCTGCGTTCCGTTTTATTCTGTTTTGTCACTCGCTCGCTCGCTCTCTCCCTTGTATTCTCAGTCAGTAATTGTACATTACACATCAGTGAAAAACAAAATTTGAAAATAAACTCCAGGCCTGGACATGACAAAAATATTATAAAAACAACACATTCGTACTCGCCTCATTTCGTTATTATTGAACTATTGTTCGATTGTGAATTTGTACATAAATGCGTATATATATTTATCTCCTATAATTATTACAACAAAACATTATCTATCGCAGACTGTTATATTTTTGGCCTTTTCAATTCTAATGTTTTCACTTGATTTACTCTACATTAGCTCGACAAGGTACTGAACAATATCTCTGCTCCCAGCGTGTGTTATTCCTACTCCTCTCCACTATAGATTATTCCACATCCGTTCGGTTTGATTTGTTCCTTCTTTAACACGTTTCGTTCGTTCTCTTTTTGGGTATTTCTCCTCGGATCTTCCTTTTTAATTTTTTGACATAGCGTTTTCCTTCGAAAGTAGTAGCAAGACGAAGCTGATTAACGATTGAGGATCCATTAAAAAGAACAAAAACTGCATGCATGTCAAAGAAGAAACGTAGAATACCTCTATTTTTCTGCACGGTTCCGAATGCATGCATACTCGTGTCCATTAACCAACACTGGTCTAGCCGCAACTGACTGCATGCCCTACATACGACATACACCACTCTAGAGATGCATGGATCACCTTCAAACAAACACACTGACCAAACCCACTCACACTAATTCAGTCATAGACTAAGTAGAACTGCAAGGATTTTGCGAATTCGGCTCGAGGAACTCCATTTACCATGAAGCGACATCATTGGCATGCGGTTTTAAGTCGAAGCGACCATTTCTGATGTATCGTCGAACCAAATTCGAAACCAAAACCCCAAACTTATTACAGAGATTGCCTGAAGATTCGAGCTCGGATGATGATAGCCCCTTTGATGCTTACTACGAGAAAAGCGACCACGATGACGACCCTAAGAAATAAGACACCAAACCAACCAACCTTCCAACACCACCACTACTCTTCTACTTTACCCAATATAACAGCTTTACCTTCTAAACGAAATTATCCTTCGACCTAACCAAAAGCGGGGTACTTTTAATTACTTTTTCGTTTTACAACACTAGCGCGAGGTATTTGCGATATTAAGTGTGCGTTTCGAGTCCTCCGAACTATTCGTGTTTCAACATCTATATGTGCGTGTGTGTGTGTGTGATCCGTAAGCGAGTCCTGTGTGTTCCAGGCAATCTCTGTACTAGGTTGAGTTAAGGCTTCCTTCGACAAACCTGCAAAGAATCAATTTGTTTGCATTCAAGAACAAAAATCAAAATTTGTCATACGTCGTAGTCCACTTGGTTTTTATATAGACCTGAAAAAATATAGTCCTTGTGTATAACAGTTTCGTTCTGTGTAATGTCCAACCAATAGTTTTAGTTGTCTTAAACCGTATTTTAACAGATTGGTTCATTTTTGATTAGTGAAAGCCAAAAGCGTCCAACTATGTTTAATCACTACTTACTCTGCTGTACATGTATATATATATATATCTTTTTCAATATATACATATGTATGTATTCGTACTATATATGTTTAGTGCAAATGTTGAAAGGAAAGTGGAGACCAATAATAATAACAACTACAATTTCATGCATTGTTCTTCTCTGTTCTGTGTCATCTCGTTTACAGGTTGTGAGTTCGACGAATGGCGAACTAAATCCGGACGATCCCACGGCCGGACACTCAAACACGCCCATCACACAGCAGCCGGAAGTCGAAGTGGTCGATGAAACAAAGTATGTGTTGCTTAAGCGATCGATTAATCGATATATCGATATGTAGATTAACTGTTAGTCCTGTTACGAACTAATCTATGGAAGTTTTGTATAAAATAAAGCTTATTTCAATGGAATGGTTTATAAAAATATGTAGATAAAGTCAGGATTATATCGTTTTGATGGCCAAAAACTATTATTATCAGTATCAATATCAATACCTGGTTAGTAATTTGTTATAGAAGTGAATATATTTACGTATACAAAGAAAAAAAAATAATATAATAATATGTTTTGAGAAGATTTCAGAATAACTACTTCAAAAATAAGATTTAAAAATTCTTTTGAAAGTATACGGTCTTAGGTGAAAGGTTGAAGAATATATCGATACATTGATTAACAAGATCCTAAAGATATTTGGTGACTTTTTTGTTGCTTTGTCGTTTTTAATGCGCAACTTCCGTTTTCCGTTCTCTCTTTCTCTCTTTCTCTGCCCCGGCCACTGTCCACCCACTCCGTAATCCGTACCCGTACCCGTACCCCTATCCAAATCCAAATCCGTATCCATCTCGTTTCTGTCCCTTGGTTAACTGTCTCCAGTGGTTCCTTATATTCCAGATGTTGTTGTTTCTTTAAACGAAAGAAGAAGAAATCGACGCGCCAGAAATGACTAGACGGTGTACAATGTAGTCCAGAACGCGAGGCAGTCACCTTGCTGCGCGCCACTTCACATTCAAACTCACGGGATAGCGTATTGAATAATCCGAGTCAGGATTATATCCAGCAGGCAACGTCGCAGCATACGTTGCGTTATCCTCCATCCGCGTCGATGCTGACGCCAACACCAACTACAAACACACCGACACTTCCGTTGTAATTTATACAAAAATATATAAAAACACCCGATACAAAATGCCGACAGCAGCAGCTAAAAAAAACAAAAATAAAACATAAAAAAAAATACAAACAAAAATAAAATAAAAAACAAAAACACAGAATCCAACAAGAAAACAAAAAGAGAACGGTATACATTAAATACACTAAAAAACAGTAAACGAAACAAACAAAATGAAACAATTTTTGATTAATAATTATTGTAATGATTGTATTTTATTATTATTTTTATTATTTACCAATTTTGCGTTTATTATATAAATTATTATAATTATTAATTATATTATTATTAATTAATGCTATTATAAATAAAAAGAAAACAAAATTCAAAAGTAAATCAAAGCGACTAGCAAGCCAGCAAAGAATCACTCACAATCCAGGCAGCTCAGCTCAGCTCCTCCTTGCGAAGGGATGGGAACCATCAAGGAAGACGGAAAGCAGAAAGCTCCCCAGAGGAAAGATCCTATACCAATACCAATACCTATACCTAAACCAACCAATGCCCCTCAGAAACCAATTGCTCTTAACTGATGGAAACTTAAAGAACACAAAAACACTTAAAGCATATTTATATATAAACATATATATTAAAAAAAAAACAGAGACGAAAACAAAACTAGTGCAGCATCATTAAATGAGAAGAGAAGGAGAAAGTGAAAGATCATATTTATACGCAACCAACAAAAACTTGTAAATTATAAAGAAACGAAAAGAAAGCAAAAATAAACTTCATTTTTGAAAACTATTCAACTAACGATATGTATGCAACTTATGCGTATTACGTATATATCAGAATATATATATACATATATATAATGTCCCTGTATGCCTTCTCCCGTTGTGGCGCAAACGGCAGCTGCCCCGCAGGACATGGCTACTCTACCAGCTGCTCCTACCCCGGAATCACCTTGGTTTAGCTATGTTTTGGATGCACTTTTCTAACGCTAATTGTACATACTAAATATACAAACAAAAGAACACGCCCACAAGTATTTTGATATATATACACACACACGTCTATTGTACTATGTCGGAAGAATCAAAATGTAGAGGTACCCCGATCCCTTTGGTAGTTGAATTCGATTTTTTTTTTTTTGGAGTTTACGTTTTTTGGATCGTTCGTTTCTTAGGCAAAATTTTCGTTTATAATGTGCGTGGTTAGTGGAATATATTTGTTGGGGTTTCCACACAGATCAATCATTCGATAGGTAAATACTAATGTACTGAGCCATTTCTTTGATATTACGTGATATGAGTACTAAACTAACTAAGGAAGAGGCCAGCAGCCACAAGAGTTTCCCATTTCTTCCTTTCGAGTAACAAAACAAGAAAATCAGACAGACACAACACGAGCACACACACACATCTCCCGACTCTGAACGAATTTGTTTTCCTCTACACACACTACCCATGAAAAACGTGAAAAGAAAAGCTAAATCTAAATGAGTAAATCGTATGGGGAATAAATATATATAACAATAAAAGTATATATATTTTAAACAAATTTTTTATACTTATTACAAATATACATACACCATTAACAAAACAAACAGAAAAACCAAAATAGCGTTAACTTTACAAAAAACAAGGCAAACTTAATGTGTTTTTTGCAAATCTTTCTAGCCTAAAAAAAACAAAAAGAAATTACAAAAATCGAAAAAAAAAATTCAAATTCTACATGAATATAACGCATATGAAAATAAACCAGATTTCTTGTATAGTTAAATAAAATCATTTGTATTATATATAAAATATTAAAGATTAGCAAACAAAATACGCTAAATAAATATATATTTCTCGGAGGAAAAAGAGTACGAGCAAAGAATAAAAATAAAAACCGACAAAACCGCACTAGTTTATATTTATATTATATACATAACTAAAGTAAAATATAACAAATTATGCATACATAATGTACTTTAAATGTTGATAAACCAAAACAGAAAACGGAACACACAACATAGCGCATGCATTGCATTGATTTATATATTCAAGAAAGGAAATTTACATATTTGCGACCCAGAGAGAGATAAAAAAAAACAGAGAAAGCGTTTAACGGTTGGCAGAGCAGAGCAAGCGCACGCAGGCCTTTTGCTAATTGCAGGTAAAGCAGTTAACATTGTTAACAGCGGCATAGCAGTTTTAAAACAAAACAAAAATCGAAACAACTTAATTCTATAATAGAGCCGATGTAGGAAGAAAATAAAACAAAGATCGTGAAAGGAGGGCGGTGGTATAATATGTAAATCATATTTTCCACTTTTAGTCGAGACGGCGAAACAAATAAAAAAACAACATAAATATTGTGTAAAAAATGATTTATTATTAATTTATAAGTAAAACAGCAAAAAAAAAGGAGAACCACAACAAAAACGATGTAAGAAAAACAAGGAGAGAAACAACCAACAAAAGAACAACCAACAAAAAATATGAAAAGAATAAAAAAACATGAAAAATTGAAACCAAAATAAATGAGAAATTACAAAAAAAAAAATCTGCGTTTAAATCTCATCGAAACTATGTATATTGGGTACTTGAGATTGATGAACATAGTTACTTAAAACATTAAAAACATCTTAAAACATTAATTTGAATTCGGAAAACTTTTATGTTAACGTTTTTAAAAAGTCCATAGGCCTGATTTAGATTTGAAAATAAAAAAAAAAACATTTTTAGCCTACTTTTATAATGTAACTCCTTTTATATATTTTTTTAAATGAATTGTTTAATTGTTAATTGTTTTATATATTTTTTCTGTTGATTTTATATTATTTAAATAGGACATTAGTGGCGAATCGGAATATACATATGTATATGACTATTTTGCAATCACTTGTTTCTTTACAATATATTGCCCTAAAGAAGACCTAAAGACTTCATTTATTTACTCCTATATGTTTTTTAATATTTTCAAAATATATATAATAGGTTATCTGGTTCATTACCTATATTTTTATGTTGTAATACACAAACATTGAAGTTCCTAAAATTTTTAAAAACATCGATGTATATAACAGTATGCCAGTTATGTCAGTTATAAATAAATAAATGCCAAATTCACCAGATGGTGAAAAATGTGTGTAAAATGTTTGGAATGACATTTTACACTAGTAAAATTACATTATTTATTTATTTATAATTTTTTATTACATTTGACATTAGTACATTTCTAAACCAATGAACTTTTCACTTCTGTATTTTTACTAGTGAACGTTACAATATTGAATTTCTTCTTCTAAATCTTAAGAAAAGGCATTCTATGTTTGTTAAATTTTCAAAATAAGATTAACTGCAAGATTTTTAAACTTTTGTTGAATTTAAAGTAAAGTATAAGTTAAATTAAAAAGTTTTCAACCGCCTTTGGGGCAATTGGCAACGCGGGCAAACAGCCAAAACATCTGGTCTCCGGCATTTGAAAGCTCCACACATGCCGGCTGGTCTGGCCAAACAGCCTTTGTTTTCACGATTTGGCACCAACTGCTAACTGCATCCACCGCGGACGTGACTGGCAAGAGGAAACCAGAATCCAGCGAATCCCAGCCAGCGACGTGAGTAGACTTTGCCTTTGTTATTATTGTCAAGTTATATCCGAGTTCTAGCGTTACACTGGCGATCATACAGGCGGTGAATAATCGTTCGTGCAATCTGGTTTCGTCCAATTAGCAATTAACAAAAGCCCCTGGTGGCGTTCTCCTCGGGTGTAGTATAAAAAGCTTGGCCACCCAAGCCAGAGCATTGCAAATTGTTTATAGAGAGTGTTTTTTTATTTTATCAGCAGCGCTCCTTATCGCCAGCCACCCGCTTTCTGTTCCAGATTCCGCGCCCGCTACCCACTTTCCAAATTCCAGTTTCCAGTTGCAGCGCTTTTGTTTCCACCAGAAGTTCAGTGACGCCCCATCCGCCGATCGACCAAGTCGCATCCTCCTCAACATGGGTATTGAAAAGTGAGTACACCGAGGGGACTCCTATCTAGAGGGTGTGATTTATTTGTTGAGAGGGCTTAACTTAACTTGGCCACGTTTAGCGACAGATTCTAATCACTAATCTCACGAGAAAAGCTCTCAGCCTTTCGCCATCTTTTACAGCGGGGGCCAATCGAATAGGATCCAGAGTTTTTCCAGTTTCTTAGACATTTTGTAGATTTTTAACAAGGGGCGTAGTGATAACATATAGATGAAAATTTCAGAAAGAAACTGAAATAAGTGCAAGAACTTAAAATTGTTTAATAATACTACATTCTTGCATAAAATATTATAGCAAAATGTAGCTCCTAATCTTATCCAAATTTTCATTTAGATTGTGGGATCTCTGAGTTATTTATGTATGCCAGAAGTTCTTTAGTATTTTCTCCGTTTATGTTTATATTTTGACCACAGTTGCTGGCTTCTAAATTGGGCAATTGGTTTATGATTAACACGACCATTTTGAAAGGCTTATCATAATTTTTTATTGCACTTAAAGTTAAGATTATCTCAGCGCCAGCAAAAGAAGCAAGGCATGGGTATATTGATATTTTTCTTGAAAGGGATTTCATTTTATATTGTAAATAAAATAGAACAAGGTGTGTTATTTATGTTTAATAATTATTTGCGTTATGATCATGGCGCTTATGACTATTTCATCAGCTCATAAAAACCTTTGGCGACGTGATAAAACGACATTGCAATAACAATCACGTGCCATTGCTTATTGTTGACACTAAATTAAATGTTTCTCAATTGAATGTATAACCATTCCATTGTGCACTTTGTCCCTGCTCTCCTCCAGAATGCTACCCTTTACCCTCCGGCTGAATCAGTTGATGAGCCGCGCGGGCAGCGACTGCCTGTGCATCATCGATCGTGAGGCCGTGCCCAATGAGCTGAAGGAGGCCTTCGAGCAACACCGTTGCTTTGACAAGTCCTTTGACAGCAGCATCTCCTGCTTTAAGGCGCCCAATGTGGACCAGCCGGTGGTCTATGCACCCGTTCCTGAGTTGACCGACTATGATGATGTGAGGAGCTACCAGGCGGCGGCCAAGAACTCCATTCAGAAGGTGCTCAAGGTGAGTAAATAGAATATAATTAATTTAAAAAAATATTATTAACCTAATCCTGGTCTAGGCTGGATTCCAAACTCCATTACTGATTGTGCCCAAGGTCAAGCGTTTCCCTCAGGCCGAACTGTGCACCGTCCTCGGCGCTCTCGAGCAGCTCTATGTGGTAAGTATCAATACATTGTATTTAATAATATAATAAATAAATTATAAACAAAATATAAAACTTCAGCCCATTCAACTGCGTGAAGCTGGAGCACCGAAAAACACCCGTGTGACCACGCTGAGTGTCGAGATCGACGATCCCAAGGCGGATGAGATTCTCAAGGAAGCCCTAATCCTGGAGGCCGGTCGTTACGTGGCCCGCGACATTGGCGTGGGAGACCCGGAGCGCATGACCCCCATCCAAGTGGAGAAGTACATCAAGCCCTTGTTCGACAAGTTATCCGTGACTGTGATAAGTGATCTGGAGACCCTGCAAAAGGAATACCCTCTTTTTGCGGCTGTTAACCGGGCAGCTGAAGCCGTCGAACGCCATCGAGGCCGCATTATTTTCCTGGAGTACAAGCCCCCGAAGCCAGCTAGGAAGACTCTGATGCTCGTGGGCAAGGGTGTCACCTATGACACCGGCGGTGCTGACATCAAGGCTGGTGGAGTGATGGCTGGCATGTCCCGAGACAAGTGTGGAGCAGCTGCTGCCGCAGGGTTCATGCAGGTGGTCAATGAGCTTCAGCCGGACGATGTCCATGTTGTGGCAGCTCTTTGCATGGTTCGCAATTCTGTTGGCGAGGAGTGCTATGTGTCCGATGAGATAATTACATCGCGAGCCGGACTGCATGTGAGGATCGGCAATACCGATGCCGAGGGCAGGATGTGCATGACCGATGCCCTGTGCCGCATGAAGGAGATGGCCGTGGAAAAGAATCTGCCGGACCCGCATATCTTTACCATTGCCACTTTGACGGGTCATGCCTTCATCTCGGCTGGCGAGGGCCAGTCGATTGCCATTGACAACAGCGTGGCCCATCGGGAGGATCATGCTAGGAGACTTCAGGCTGCTGGTCAGGCCTTTGGCGAGCCTTTTGAGATATCCGTGCTGCGGCCCTGTGACTTTGCCTTCAATGCCGGAAAAGTAATTGGTGAGGATCTGGTTCAGGCCAATAACGCGCCGTCCGTGAGGACGCCGCGAGGACATCAGGTGCCAGCCGCCTTCATGATCATGGCTTCGGGTTTGGACAAACACGGCCTGGACTCCAAGGTGCCGATCAAGTACACGCATATCGATATTGCCGGCAGTGCCGGTGAGCATCCAGCAATGCCCACAGCTGCCCCTCTGGTCTCTCTCGTCAAGACCCATCTGCAAAAGTAAAGTCATATCGATTTGTACACTATTTGTGGAGACCAGACCCCATTTCAGAACTACACACGTACTTAGACACTTAAATGCATAGCTAATCAACAATATTATCCTTCTGTCCACTTGAAGCATCACTCGTCAAAATAAATGTATAATCATTGAAGATCCATCTATCTATTATTCTTGTGAAAGCTAATCAGACATCCTTTGGGTGGGATTAAATATAAAAAATAAGAATCTGTTTATATATATATTTAAACTTTCACAATATCGGTTAATCAGGTAGGTAGGTAGGTATACTTCCTACTTAAGATGTTATTTATTTGCTTTACATATACAACTAGGGATTTTAATGCTGCCTAAAAGTATGCTCTGATTTTTTACACATTCTTGTTCGGCTACAAAAAAAATAAAATAAATTTGATAATTTGGTATCCCAAAATTTAAAGAAAATGTTCAGCAAGGATCTTGAGTTTTTAAGTTTAGAAAATGTCTAAACACAAATATTTTTTAAAGTCTCTGATAAATTTATTAAATATTCTATATTTACAAGTAACTAAATTTCAAATATTTCAGTTTTTCTTGCTTGTTTTTTTTTTGTTTGCAGTTCCATTGTTTGCATAATTGGCTAAGCTTCGTGCATCTCCAGCTCTTTATGGTTATCTAAGGCTCTCTCTCTCCCTGCCCAACTGCCTCCTTTCCCTTCGTGCCTCCTCTTTTTTAGCGCCTTCTTCTTTTTCAGCTTGGCCCACAGCCTAGAACCCGTTAGTCGCTTCTTGGCCATGCTCTTTTCTTTGTGCCGCCTTGCCTTGGGGGCCTCCAGCTGGAGCTAAAAGCTGGAGCTGGGGCCTGCAACTTGGCTCTGTTGGTTGGGGCCACTTGTCAGCTGTCGCATGTGTCGTGGTACCGTTATTGCCTGGCTTTGGAAACTCGGTCAAGAGTGTCTCATTCATGTTGTGATTGCATAATATACCGTTGCCTCTTGTTGGCCTTCTTCTGTTGCTGTTGCAGTGGCTTCTTGTTCTTGGCCTTCTCCCCGATCCCGATCCCGATCCCGTTCCCGAGCCCAAACCAACTGGATGGCTTCCCTGGTCTTGGGTTGGCTTCTAGGTAATTTATTGGCGCGGGCCTCCACATTCGACAGTCACACCGCATTTGGTCATTTGGCCAAGTCGGGCGGTTTTGGCTCTGACTCTGTCCAGCGGCCTAACGGTACTCCTGTTATTGATGAACACAAACGTCTCATTCGCTGACTGCTTTTCCATTTCGCCCCGTTAGTGTGAAAATATTGCCAAAGCGAGGCAGAAAAAAAAAAAGAAAAAAAGAACAAGATGTCGGGGAAGTGTTCTGCTGTATTGGCCATTTAACGGGCCGCGAGCCAAGGCTTGACCTGATTATGGCAGGACTGGTTAGCTGGCTTCCTGTAAGACGATGCTAATAAATTTGATCGCTAAATCGATTTAGTTGGTGTATGTTATATTATGTTTATATATCAATTTAAATGAATGTTAACCTTAGAAATTAGTGAATTCAAGAGAGACGATTTCTTCTTTTTTATTTTACAAACAAAATGTAACTGTATTGAACCATAAAATATATTAAAATTACTTAGAAATAGCCATAATATTTGCCTTAAGTATATTAAATTAGATTGAAATGCATTACAAAATCAGCTGAATTAAATGCCGTAAAAGCGTCTTTAGCGTCTTTATTGTAAAAAGGTTGTAATAAATCTATAACATTGCTTGCCACAACCCAATTCCTTAGGACAACAAATTCTTCCCCCTAGCCTTTGCTACCGCACATTTAAATTATAAACGAAGCCAACTTGACTTATTTTTACTTATATAAATGTAATTCCGCCTTTCCTGCAGATGTGCCAATCTCTGATCTATAGTATCTGTCTCTTATCTACAATATATGCCTCGTCAATCCCTACAGAATCCAATATCTTTCCCATTGAAAAGTGCTTTGGGATCAGCTGGATGGCTGGCTGACTTGCTGGCTGGACCCCCAAGTATGACATCAAGAGACCAGGGAGTAAGCACAGTCACAGTCACAGACACAGCAATGAGGAACAGCAATCCGTTATGGACAATCACCAAAACACCTTGTCAATTCGGGCGCCTGTCTTTGGGAAGCAGACGAACTGGCTCCATATGTGCGCGTCGCGCAGTTGCTCCCCGATCCATAAATTCGCGAAAACAGCGAATGCAGAGACGGCAGAAACATCACCACCACCGGCCGAGAAGGAGCCTGCCTGGTGGAGACGGACGGGTGACGGCGGCGGGCATTAATAATAGCAAACAACAGACAAGCAACACCAAATGAGGGGGGTTGTGTTGATGCTTGTTGCAACTTGCAACTTGCAACTCTTGCACCGGCAGCAGCGGCAGCAGCAGCAGCAACAACAACAGCCACGGCAGCAACCACTTGGAGCAGCAAACGACAGAAATGATCTTAAATGAATGCGGAAGTTTTTCTTGGGGTTTCGTAACCAGCTACAGCAGCAGCAGCAGCCACTGCATCAGCAGCAGCAGCAGCAGCATCGGCGTTGGTAGCGCCAAAGAGGTCGTCGCAATTCCAGTGGCAGCTATGTTGCTACATTTATGTACATGTGTTTGAGACTCCCGAGTACGAGTACGAGTCGGAATCGATGCCGTGAGCCCGTAATCATAGATGCTGCCCGGCTAGGTCGAAAGCGGCCCAATCCATGGACATATTAAAATTAATCCAATGATTGCAGCGGCTGCCGCTTGAAAATTGTTAGCCAATTTGGTAGCCGCCTCCATTGGCCTCGCTTGACTAAGCACGCCAGCAGGAGCAGCAGCAGCAGCAGCAGCGTGTGAATCGGAAGCTGGGCCAAAGCCAGCTGCCAATAGTCATTTGATCCTGGCCCCAAAAGCTTAGCCAGTTTCCCATGTGTCCAATCAGATGGAATGAAGATGCCCAGCAGAAGCAGCAGCTGCCGAAGTTCAAGGCTGTCCAGGATCCATATTGAATGTCCTGCAGTTGTTCGTTCATTCATGACCACCAAAAACCGTGTATGTGTGTGGGCCAATCCTTGCCTGAGAACAGACAAATTTCTGCATAAACCCATAAATATCAAATTGATCTAAACGGGATATAGCCAGAGGCGCCGGCGCCCCGAACTTGAAAATATCCAACAAGGCCGACAAGTCACGTACCGAACACCTTGACAACTCATAAATAAACGCTAAATTATGAACTCCAGTTGAATTTCAAAAAAGAAATTGAAATGTTTTTGCCACACCAAGAGATTTTCCATTGCCAGCAGCTTCGAACCGAAGAAAGAAAGAAAATTCACAGGCGGCAGCCCGCAGCAGCCAGCAAAAAATGCACCGAAAAAAATGTATATATCATATTTTTTAAAGTGTTAAAATACATATTTTAAAGTATTTTTTATTTATTTTTGTTTGATAAATTTAAGAAAGTTCAAAGAGACAGCCACAGAAACCTCTTAAAATTTTTAAAAGAAGATTAAGATGGTGTAGAACAATTTTTAAAATTTATTTTATATATACTTTGAAAATATATCATAATAAATTACTGAAACTTCCTCTTTAGAGTTTTCTTTACGCTTAAAAATTAAATTAAATATTCTCACAAACAAAATGGTTTTAAAATTTTTCTCAGTGCTAAAAAAGGCCCCTCATAATCCATAATATTGTGTCATGTTCATGATCAACGCGGCCTCAGCCTTGGCAAGGAAAATGTGTGAGGCCGACCCACACCTTGTTGGCTAAATTATTTGGAAAACTCCTCGCCGGGCGAACGAAAGTAAAAGAAAGAAAGGCCCGAAAATCCAATGCCAAAAACCCGACAACCGAATTCGACCCGCTCGCCCGGCTAATGAAGTGGTAAAAAGGGGCTTGGAAAACTGCATGCCATTGCATTTGATGGTGCTGTTTGGTGTTTGGTGCTTGGTGTGTTTTGCTGCCACCAACGCCGTTTCGCTTGATCTTGCCTGTGGCAGTGGTGCTGTTGCCGCCGCTGAGTCGAGCGCAGTTGGTTTGCCATTTTTATGGCCTCTTTGGGTAAAATGTTAACAACAACTATGCCGGGAGGGCAGGGGGGAAAAAATTATGAATTTTTACTTTCACCGCATGTGGCAATTTCAGGTTTGCCGGCGGGCTTGAACTTGAGGTAAAGAAAAAGGCGGCGGCATCAACAGCAGCGGGAGTTGTCAAGGCCAAAGGTCACAAGATCCTGCTGGCGGAGAAGAAAAGGTGTGGTCGAGTCAGATATGGGATAACGATAACCATGTCCTAAAATTTACGATGTAACATCCTGATTAAAGGTGACAGATATTTGAAAAGGATTTACATTTCGCTGGCTATCTTTTGAGATAAATATTATTTTTTAGTTGGATTTAAGGAATAAATATTCTGGAATATAAAAAATAGTGTAGAGTTACTATTAAAATAAGAATAATAACCATAGTGCAGGTGAAATTTTATCAATTATACATAAAATCCTATAAATTCAGGATTAATGTCTTGACAATTTTTATATTTTAACCAAATTTACTTATATTATCAGCTAAAAGATACATTTTCTCCAGTGTGCCTCACACAGATACTACTTCAAGCCACACCGTGGCAGCCGGGTCATAATTGATTGCTGCAACAAATATTTTTACGATCAGGGCCGACGAAATCACTTTGGCCAAGCGAGCGCGAAGCTGGCCATCCAATTTGCTTTTAATCTAGCCAGATGAAGATGTCCGCGACGATGGGATTAACACGCTGCAAAAGATACAGATACAATACAGAGAAAACCAAGCACCCATACCCATGCACCGCCAGCCAATGTGTAACTTGCAACATTTCCGCATTTCGGCCTAGAGAGCCAGCAGAAGAGTCGAGCGTGTTGCTCTTAAGCCCCAACTGGTATGCTCTTAAGCCCACTCCCCGTTCCCCGTTTGTTCGGAAGAGTAAGCCCGGCCCAAAAGGTTTGAGCCGGGTTCGGTTTCGGCCTCGTTCGAGCTTCGGCTGCTGCTGCTCCGATCATGGGGCAATACGTCACAAGGGTGAACGTACTCGCGGATGTTAGTGGGTCACTATTTGTACGGTCAACGAACCTTTGGCCGCTTGTAAATACAACAAAAGAAAAAGCCAGCGACTGCTTCTTCTTCTGGCC